GGGGGGGGGGGGGGGGGGGGGGGGGGGGGAAGGGAGGCGTATGTCGGTTAGTGTGATAGTAGTCTAGGGCTGGGTTCGTTTTTTTTGGGTCGTCGCTGTTTCGCCGTGGAAGGTTTGTGTTACTTTTTGTGTATCGCTAGTATGATTTGAGTCAAGAAATATTTATTGTGCCAATATCTCATCTACAACGCTTTATTTTGGCGTTATGGTTTTGTCAAAGCATGGTCGCTCTCTCTTGATGATCCTGGGGACATTAACACATGCACACTCGTATCACCCTCGTGTTGCCCTCACGACTGGATGATGAGTCTTCGCCCTGCCCCTCCCGTGGCGAAGAGTGCGTCGCGCCCTTCCTTTCTCTACATCATGAGATACGATGTCCGTGCGCGTGTCGTCCGACCTCTCCAACGAATGCTTCTCCACGTACATCCGTCATCGTATGACGAAAAAGGGGCCGGCTCGCGGTTGTTTGTCATCATTATTGTTAGCATCGACTGCGCTAGCCGGCTGACGACCGGTGAAAAGACGTCAGTTATAGTGCGGTTGAAACACGAAACACTTACTTTTAAATGCCATCAACTGGGACCCCGTGAGGGTTTGTTGGTCTGCGTTCTCTGCTACGTGCCTTGTCGCACTCTCACCAACCAACCCACCTTACTTACCAGAGAAGATATTCAGACAAGAGACGGGTCGCAACAACGCATAAATCTCGTCCGGTCCGCGCCCCTCCCCCCCTCCCTTCCCCCCGAAAGAGAGGGAGGCCACGTCGGAGATAGATACGTTCTGTACCTGAACGGAGCGGTTCGCGGCCTCTGGGTTAGGTACCGTTACGGAGTAATGGTTCATGTGGGTTGTTTCCGCAGGATGGTTCGTTTATTTTGCACGAGAAAAATACGGGGCAAAACCACACGCCTACGGCATGTGGCAAAAAAATATTTGTTTCTCCTTGGCGCTCTTCCTGCTGTTGTCCATGTAGGAAATGGAACACACAGTCCACGAAATTTCTTGTCCACTTGCTGATGTTCGTGACCTCTTCAATCTTCTGTGCCGGCGAGCGCATTTTTCCACTCATTTTTCCCCCATCTTTGGCCCTGTCCGTCTGTCCCCAACCGTTCGCCGCAGGGGATTCCAACAAAATATCTCGTTTGTTACTGTACGGCAGTATTGTTGTTGTCTTCACATCAAAAACCGTTCCGGTCTCCGCTCAGTACCCCCGTACTGGTCCACCTGACGCGGATCACAAGCCAACTACCCAAAGGGGGGGTACATATGGTGGACCAGTACCTGCCTCCTTTGATGCAGGCAGAACATTTCTTGGCTGAGAAAGAGGAGAGCTGCTGTATTGTGTCTTGTAGAGCAGGAAGTTGAAGGCGGCGGCGTTTCCTGTTCACCACACAGACCAAGAAGGACGGAAGCAGCAACAACAACCGGAAGAAAAAAAGAGACGGCAAAAACAACAACTGCAGCAGCAAGAGCAGCAGCAGCAGCAGCAGCAGCAGCAGCATGAAACACGAACTCTTGAATCTCGGTTAGGAAAGTCACCCTCCGTGATTGGTCGCATCCTTGCCTCCCTCTTCATTCAGCCGAGCCCACGCCTGGTCGGCGGGAACCCGGCACGGAACCCTCCGGCGTTGTAGGCGGG